GATTGGGTGACTGTCAGGAAAATACAGTTCACCATGTTTCACCACAAATGATCCACACGGGAATCTAACCAGTGTAGTGAGAGACTGATTAACATGGGGTGGTATTGACGATTATGGAAGACAGATGAAGGGACGAATCGAGACTGGTCTGGTTATCGGTATATCAGGTTGTAGATGGAAGCCACAGGTAATAGTCAGCATCAAACAGTACAACTATCGAATGCGTTACTCAAATTTGCAAGGCAGGAGGTGAGGGAGTCGGGCTTTGAGAGCGATCGAACATTTAAACTCGACCACGTACAGATGCAGTTTTCGCGAAAAAATGTGGACAGTTAGAAGGTCAAGAAACGAAAAGAGTATAATCTGCGCAATACCGGATAGGTCGGAAAAAACAATTACATATTTAGGATTATACTGGAGCAGGTAGAAATTTCAAGACAGACATCTAAATGACATCTAAATAGTGTAACAGCTTCGTCGTCCGTGGTTACGGTGTTGCCAAAGCTCCCAAAACAGCTTCTGATTGCACCACGAGGATTACAGGTTCAAATAGAGATCACCTCTACCGTGCTAAGGGTTATAGACTGCAGTTGGTCCGAAGTTGTTCACTGAATGATATGGAATGCTTGATCCACATTATCAGCATCATCATCATCATTATCATGATCACAACTATCATTTAAGAAGTTCGTAAAGTTCCAACCTATTTCATCATTCTTCTCAATTGAGCCCAGATTCTTCGACGGGACAGTTTGGGCCCCATTCTTGACGACCGGTTTGCAAACGTATATGAAGAGGCAGAAGAGGATGGCCAGGAGGAAAACGACAACGAGGACGAAGATGAAGAAGATGTGGACGATCTCATCGATCAAAACCCGGTACGGGATTGTTCACCATTCTCCCCGTTCGACACGATTCCTCAGCCACGATATCTCCGCTCGCCCAGAGTAAGCCAGCAAAATGATTTTGTGATGGAAGGTCTTGAAGAAGCGGAGGATGAAGGAGAAGTGAACTTCCATGAAGAAAACGGGTACGAGGAAGACTACATGACAGATCAGATGGAGTTTGGAGTGGAAGGTGACTTTTACCCCGAGGGTGATGATACTCCAGATACAAAATCGGAAATCCCGATTGTGGAAGTACTATCAGCCGCCCTTTGTGCTGCCGGATACGGCAGTATCGGGCGTTTTCTACATCAATGGCTCCCGCAACGAGCGATGTGCGAATCTGTACTGCGGGCATCAATGCAGGATAAAGGTGAGTTATCTGTTCTTGTTTCTTTGTCTTCCACTGATATTCGAATGAAATTTGCTTAGTAAATGCAATCTATCGTCAAAAATCAATAAATTCAAATTGAATAGCTTTTTTAGGTAGATCTTGTGCTTAAATTGCTCGGATTTTTTCTTAAATCGCTAGTTTCAAAATTTTGTTTGCGTTAGTGCTAGGGAAAAGGTGGTGGATGTGTAACATCTACCCGTCCTGAAGATCCAAAGTCGCTTTTGTTATTACACACCTGAGTGTAATGAACAGCAGGTGAGATAAGCCCATAGTCACGAGGACCTGCTGTCCAGTGGCGGAAACCGGCAGTCTAAGCCCCGGGAGCGGCGAACTACATAAGGCCCCGATAGTTTAGGCGTGGTACTGAACCGGACGACAGTAGAGCGGCCTACTACCAGTCGGGTGACAGTGGCGCGGTTAGAACCTTAGACCATAGGGTCCAAAGCACGCCGGTGACAGCGACTAAATCACTGCGCCACTACCATGGGGATTATCGCAATCACTGTTTTATCTCAAGCGATCAGTCTCCAAACTCAGTGGTATGATCGAGGAGGCTAACACTGGTCCCTGAACATCCTAAGGGCACTCACGGTTTTTGTTTCAAAACAAATTGCTTCCATTTGAAAAGTTGACGCGTCCTCGGACACCATTATGATGGCTAATTCGAGACAGAGCACTCATTAATGTACAGCTCCCCTGCCTACGGTCAGAGACTGCTCCACGAATTCCGGCGGTGATTGTAGTGGCAGTGCTCATTGTGAACAGAACCATGTGTTCTTTTTATCCAGTACCTTCCATCAGATATCGTTATGAGTGAGAAAGAAAAAGAATCCAATACATAATATTAAAATGTGTGGTTGGCCTGGAAGAAAAAATACCATCGTCTAGACTATGGCACATCTTCATCGTTCGATTTTTGTTTTCATGCTTAATCATACCTTCAATTCCACTTTTTCCTCATCCCACAGGAATCTCCGAAGATATGCTCTGGGAACGCCGTAAAGCTTTACTCCAACAGCTCACAAAACAGGTAAATTTTTACTTAATACGCAATTGTGGTTGCTTTTTCTCTTAGATTTTCAATTTTTTCACCCAAGACTCAAAACGGTGAGACGTGGCCAACAAAACAGAAAGTTCGAACAGAAAATAAATTCGTTAGTCGTTATGATTATCGGAACAATGGATGAAAGCTTTGAAGCAGCAGTTGCTGTGTATTTATGTGTGAGATAGAGTGGATGTGAGTATGTGCACGTCACATCATGCTGTTTCCCGTCTTAGACGAATCTAATTTAATCTTAATTGGTTGGAATTTCCCATCCTTCAGACTTTTCTTCAAGCACATTCCTCCGCGTTTCCAATCAACCATACACCCGAAATCGCTAGACTCAATTTTCACCATTATTATAGCTCATCAGTACTGCATACCCATGCGATGGGTCCGGAGTTCAAGTCCCGGACAACAGTACTCTTAGTTTTTCTAAATTTTGTCAAACAGTACTACCTTTCTCTACGGATTCAGTGGATAGATTAACTTCTCTAGGCAATTAACTACATATAGCTTAATAACGTCCTCACACAGAAGGTATATGGAACTCATTTAAACTCACAGTCAGCGAAACTGTTTGCAGGTATTCATTGGTCATTCACTGGTATTCATTTGGTCATCCAAAACGGATAGAAATTACGCTGGGCCGCTTTCCTTATCTCGACATTTACGCATCCACACAGGTCAAAACTGGTTCCCTAATGACTACAGAGATGTTGTTTCTTCGATTCACACAATTCGTTGAAGTGCAAGAATTGGAACCACAAGATCGTGTGGCCGACAAACCATGGATACGACTGACAGCCGCGGAAAAAGTGAGTGCTTATAAATTTAATCCTACAAGTGAGGTAAACCCTAGAAGCCTGGTGTTGTTTTAGGATATCTAGGGCAGTGAAAAATGGACGGGTCCATGATTTTATTACATCCCTCTATTACTCCAAGTAGTTGAAGAGCTAATCTCAAGCTCGGCGATGCTCACAGATTGGTCCTAGTAACTTTGAGTGGCGAACCATTTTGAACCAGACTGGGAAATGCACCCTATTGAAGGGGGGCACAGCACATTTCTAGCGGATTTCCAACCCCAAGCTTTAAGAACTCACCTGTACTCCAGTGGCAGTAACTTAAGGTTTCCGATGATTCTGTAAATGTACCGAGTTTGGGCATACACCGATCCGTGTGTACATCAACAGATGACTACCAATTCACCTCACTTCACCCAGGCAATTAGTTGCAACCCTCATTGGCCAAAATGCAACAAGTTGTCCTTGACCCAACCAATTCTACAGTACCTCATAGACAGGGCATGTTTGAGCTCGGTGGCGTCTGAAAGATCAGACCATCACCTATCTGTCCGAATCTACACTCGCCGTTTCATATATCTATCTTATAGCTATCTTCGTTTTGTTTGCGAAGACTGGATTAATGCGTCAAAGCCCAGGTGTAATGCAAAGCCTACACAGACATCATGAATTTTATGGAAATCGGCCAGCTAAGAGCCAGAAAAATCCAAGCTCCATGATGCAATAAAAGCGGTACTGTGTTAAGCGATAAGGCAACTAGTCAGAATAGATTCAATTCAATGACAAGGTGAGTGGACTAATGAACTCCAATTCCGCATTCATCCATAAAGTATTCTTGGAGTACTTTTAGTCAAATCTGTTAGATTAGTGATCAGGGTACGCTCACTATTCAATTGTCGGTTGAGAAGTTTTTCTGTTCCTTACCCCTTAAAATGGATCTTTCCCTCCCTAGGCACGGATACGGAGGGAGCTGAACGATTACAAATTGGCCGAAATGCCAGTGCATGAGGCGAGCAGACAAAATACTCGGTAAGAAACGTATTGGTCGTATTTTAGTGTAATTTTGCAGTCAGTTTAATCTTCCACTATATTCTCGAACCAGTATTTCTACGATATCAGAAATCCATTGGAGGAGAAAAAAACGTTTCACCTGGCAGGTTTTCAGTTTTGACCAACATGCTATCGGGTTATTTGGCTCAACATTTTGCTAATGTATTTACGAATAGAAAAACAGCATTTTTCGTAATGGCGAACAAAGTGCACTAGATGTTTGTTTTGATGGTTTAACGCATTTTTGTCTGGAACCTCAAACCTTGAGGTAGGAACTTCACCTCTGAGTTATGCAACCGGTTAAATTTAACTTGAGAATCTGGCCACGTCCTTTTGATTTCATAAGCACCGGGTACTACGCATGATTTATTATGCCTTTAGGAGTGAGATTCACCTAATAGGAGTTCGTTTGTTAACCATCAGTGTGGTGTATCTGTTGGCAATAGACTAGATCTGAACAACACAAAAGAACAAAACCTTATGGTCACGAAGAAGACGATTCGTTGATGGTAAATAATTTCTCCAATGATATTCTGAACACGGGAGGATGTTCAACAATAAAACTGTTCTTGGAAATGAACTATAGTAAAAACAGTCGTTTAACAGGTTTCTTGAGCTGTCTCATTCAAAGAACTCGATGTTAAGAATCAGAATCGGGGCAAGCTCTAAAGATGAAGGAGAAAGAAACATGGCGTTCGTGAAAAGGTGAACAGTTGGATGAATGACCGCATACTAGGCACGTTCTGAGGAATAAAAGACGTAAGAGGAATTTGGGTTCCAAACATGATCACAGCATTTCATATTAGGATTTATTTGGACCCCGAAATAATAAGATAGATATATTAGGCTCGACGTGGCCTTCGCAACCCCGTTAAAAAAATTCTGTGCAAGTTTTTCATATTATTTTATCAAAACACAGTCAATTTTAATGAAGGTCGTGAATAACCAATGATTTGCCATCATCTATGGCTTCATTTATAAACCCTAGTAAATGATTTTTTCTCCATTTCCCAATCTTATCACAGATTTCATCTGCCGTGAAGTGGGATGAAGATACTGAATCTGTGAAAAACGTACACAGGCCATTCTTCTACCACATTATTGTATGAGACCACAATCCCTTTCTCCCCTGCTGAATGAGGAGGAATTCTTTCGATCACTAGTCCCG